TTTATATTGACTATATTGGCATTTGTATCATACGTAACCTATATTCTCTCTCTCTCTCTAACTATGTTAGTCTCTAATGTATTTTTAATTTTTGTTTATACTCTAATGGATTCTACTACCCGTAAATCATTACTAAATAAATAAATAAATAAATTTCGGCGTGAAAAGTTAATTTCAGATAACGATATATACCTATTCCATCTAAGATGATTCTAGATAAAAATTTTCGGAATGTCTGGAATTTGCGAGAAACGTAATTAAGATGGCGCGATTAGTATAGCTTATTGTACAATCGCGGGACTCGATACGAACACGCAGTGCAGTGGAAAATGAGTTTTCCAACGTTTCATTTCTCGTCCCATTCTAAATTTCCGATGTTCCGCAGGATAGCGCACAGTTCTATAATAATTCTATAATAATCGGAATGGACGCGTTGCAACTTTCTCCCTCTGTCGGAAAATTGCTACGTGCCCTGCGAAACACCGGTGAAACGTAACGTGAAAAATTGCGAGACACGGTGAAAAGCGGTCATTTACAGTGCACATCTGTCATTCCATCGATTACCGTTGTATACCGGCTGCGGCCAAAGAGAAACTCGACGCATCGGTTTACGATAGCAACGGATAGCCGAGGCGTATCGTCATCATCCTTATCGCTTGCGGTGTTCCAATAACCGCGATATTTCTACTCGCTGACACACTATCATTACGCTAAACGCAAATTCGTACCGGTTCCGTTTCCGTGCTGCCACGTCGGTTCCTTGCCTGCGAACTACGCGAAACGGATAGAAAAACCAGATCTCTGTCAATTCGCGTCGTCGTTACCGACTCTGTCGAGCAATTAGCGACACACGGGATTGCGTAAATGTGCACGAAGAGATCGTGGAATTTACGAAAGGGTAATTCCACCGAGAGACATAAATATTCTGAAAAATTCATCCACCGTGTTGATGAATAATCAACGATGCGATACAGGCTTAAGACTAGGTTTACGGACGCTATCTGTATACCTATTTCTAAGGACACCTGTCAAATTGACAGGTAAAGGAAACCACGTGCCTTTTCTTTAACGATTAGTTTAATTTAAAAACAATTATATATTATATTAACAGTCTCAATATAAGTTAACCCATTGACTGCCAACTACGAGATATCTCGTTTGATTGGCTACAAATGGCCATTTGAGTTAAGAATTATTAGAAAGGATGAATGAAAAATGTATATAGTGTAGAGAACATATTAATTATCAATTTTTATTATTAAAACTATTAAAATTATAACTTAGACGATTAGATAATTATATTTTGTAAAACTTCATGTTTTCTTTAAAATAAAATAAAATGGCACCCAGGGCAAGACGCGCTAAATTTGCGTAGCAGTTAATGGGTTAACTAAAGATGTTACCATCATATAATTGGAGCAACCCTTCCGTCAAATTCACGGGTTTCGTAAATCTAGTGTTAAACCCTGCGTGCCCCTGTTCTGAGACATATTTTACAGAACCTTCCTGCGGTTCAGGCCGAATTTAACGTCACGTTGTCAAGCCACATCCGTTTAATTACGAGCCATATAGGAGCGAGAATAGCTGAAACGATTATCGGAATGAATGATGGATAGACTAATATAAAACATACCAGGGTCCCAAATTTCTCTCCCCTAAATTTCTTATCCAAATTTTTAATAAAAATTTCGCATTTGACGTTAGTAAATTTGACCCTTTGCACTCGACAAGTTTTTGGCTAAAGATGAGTAAAGGTTCAAAGATTTTCTGCTATAAAGCTGACGACATTTTTTCGAACAGTAAATAAAAAATCACATAATAATTAACATATAGAATTATTTCATTTCGATATCTCTCACACCGTTACATTAGCTGAAATTTGATATATTAATTAATATCGATCTTCGAAATTTTATGAAATGGTAACTGAAGCTCACCTCTCGAGTGCAAAAGGTTAACTTCCCCTAAATTTCTTCTCTAAATTTTTAATTAAAATTTCGCATTTAACGTTGGTAAATTTTGGTCACCCATCTTTGCAATTTCTTTTTTTTAATGCAGGTATAATAAATTTTTCAATATCTTCGCGTGTTCCACTTTTCTCATCGCTATCACTGCATACCTGGTTTCACGCTGTTTGCATAACGTGCATTCTCGAATAAAGTGTATCGAGAATCTAAAGTGTTCTAATAGACTAGGATTCTTTAATGACGATAGAAGTATCTCACACGAGATCACGATACATTCTATTTCTGCATGAACGTTATTATAATCTCGCATGAAATCATTCTCCGCCGTTACTGTTTTACCTAGGTACGATTAAACACCTTCGCTGGCCGTAAAGCCGCCATTGCCTACGCTCGCAAATAATCTCTATAGAAAATCCTCGTCTATGCCGTAAACCTTCGCCAACCTGCTTTACATAAATTAACCGCAACGAAACTTCCTTCGAAATTTCATGAATTTTAAATCACCACCGAACCAATCCTGGACTCACGCGCTGATCTCGTTAACCCGAAAGTACAACGCTGACCTCAGTGATACAGAAAAAGGATTGCACGTTGCATAGCACGAAGCATAATTATTCGAGCCCTTTTTCTTTATATTTTGTAAGCGTTTATGTGTAAGAGAAGCGAGCTGCAGGGACCAATGAAGGGGCACGTAGATATAAGAGATAATTTGAACCCTGGACGAAGAGGTGAGCTGTTTGATTTCCGCGGCAGTATTAAACGAAGAATGATTAATGATGAAAAGCAAAATGGAAGGTAGACAATGTTCTGTCTGACGTAGGAGAGCAAAGCAGAATTCGCTATCGTGTCTTAGAATTATTTTCCCATCTCCTACGCTATATCATACTATACCTAGCACCTACATCGGAACCTATCCTCTCACTTGTCTTATATATCGTACTTCATTGTATATGCGGGTACTGGTACTATTGTAATTATTAATAAATATATTTCTGCCATAAAGAAATATCAACTCCTAACCCTAATAAAACGCGAAGAGTCTCTAAAGTTCCAGGGACCCCTCAGAACCACTCGGAATCCCTCGGAACACTTTGGAACCCCACGGAACCTCTAGGAACCTTTCGAAACACCTCGGAACCCCTCGAAACCCCTCAAAACTCCTCGAAACCCTTCGGAACCCCACGGAACCCTTCGAAATCCCTAGGAACCCCACGGAACCTTTCAGAATCCCTCGGAACACTTCGGAACCCCTCGGAAGTCCATGAAACTCCACGGAACCCTTCGGAACCCCTCGGAAGTCCATGAAACTCCACGGAACCCTTCGGAACCCCTCGGAAGTCCACAAAACTCCACGGAACCCTTCGGAACCCCTCGAACCTCCACGGAACCTTTCGGAACCCCTCGAAACTCCACGGAACCCTTCGGAACCCCTCGAAACTCCACGGAATCCTTCGGAACCCCTCGAAACTCCACGGAACCCTTCGGAATCCTTCGGAACCCTTCGAAACCCCTCGGAACCTTTCGGACTAACACTCACGTTTCACCTCCAACAAGCATAACACCATTCGCACGCGCAAAGAAGCTTCCTGGCACACTCGCCAGTGTCCTAACCACTCCCATATGACTTTTCCAAATTTCATAAGAAACCATGATCAGCTTCTACGCGAGTAACGATCACTCCACGAGGCAGCATCTGCTCGGAAAAGCCGCAGGACGAGCTTAATTCGTGGACGGAGGCGTAACATCTGGCCGACATGGCCTGGTCGGGAAATTGTCGCGATAAATCACGTTCGGTGTGGGCTAGGTTATCAAGCAACGGGAGTCTAGTTCCTCGACAGGTGTACCGGACGGAACGAGCAACGGTTGTTCCACGAGATAGGAGCAACAGGTCCCGACTGGGACGCGACTCGACGCCAGTTGTTTCGCGTGGAAAAACCGAGGAGACCAGAGAAGACTTCGAAGCCGGTGGTTCGCCTCGTTAAGCTATGCTAATGAGACAGATCCCGAAGGAAACCAGCCTGATAGACGGGTTAACTTCGGGAAAATCGCAGTTGATTTATCGAGACCAGGGAAGTCCCTGATGATTTTCTACGGGAAAAGGGAGTAGCAGAGGGACTTTTAATCAGGGAACGGGGAAATCGTTGGTCGAGTGGGAAAGTGAACGGGAGAATCAGGCGAAATTGTTTGGACGAAACGAGATCGCGTGGGGAGCATGACGGGTGTTTGATGAGAGTGGGCGGTGATTAGAGGTATTCCCAGGTGATGTTAACGAGATTACGTCAATGGAAAAATTCGGGATAAATCGGAGAGGTATTGCATTCGTTTGTAAGTATATGTAGAAGGGTTTAGAAGCGTGTACACGTGTGTGTATAGGTGTACAAAGCAAAACGATAGGTACGAGATACGTATTAACACTAACCATTTTTCAGCTTTCCCTTGAACACTTTGACTGCCACAATAAAATTTCCATTACTCTTAGAACATAATGAATTATTAAATAATATGATAAAAAGAAAATTAATAATAAAAATAGCACGCTATTTGATTCGCAATGTTCTCTATTTATTATATTAGCATTGTTTAAATTTAGAAAAAATGGTCGAAATAAAATAAATATCGTGAATTTATAAAATTAGTAGCCTGTTACTGGTAACTATTGTGGCAGTCAACCTGTTAATATAGTTGTTACCAATTTTCCGATATTTTCTCTTACTCCATTTTCCATCTACGAGTTTTCTTATCGGTCGTGGTAAATTTAGCGTTAGGTCAAACGTTTGATACAGAGATGCAAATGCGAAGGAAACACGTTCTAGATTGAAACCCGAAGAACACGAATCTACAGAATTTTCAGAATTTTTCTCTCGTGCTTGGAATACTAACGATCCTAATATATCCCGTATTTCTAACGCTCGTTTTTGACTCTTCGATCGAAACGAGTTTCAAAGTATGCTAGCCATTCGATATTAACTCGTTACATTGGAAGTAATTAAATTGAAGATAGGAATGAAATAACGGTAACATTTCTACGCTCACCTGCATGTAAAACGCTTCTCCCCTCGTGATAACGAAGCTGCTGGCTCTGTCGTCGGTTTGTAGGGCAAACAGACTGGCTGCTACGATTGCCAACGAAGCTGGGAACAAAAGATATTCGACATTAAACACTGTATAACAAAATCTACATCTCCCGTCTTTCTTCCAAGTAAAACAACGGATACGTTTTTAATAATCAAAGACCTCGTGCCTCGTTGGAAAATGGAAAATAAACGAGATGAAACATTCGGAGATACGCGAATATACAATTCGTAATTTCGCGCGATTCGTTGCCTCGAAGGAGGTGATTTTAAAAACAGAAATTCATTCATCGAATGTGGTCGACTGCACGATCTACGAGTTTAGCGAGTATCGCCTTACGGCAACAAGATCCACCGCAGATATTCGATTCTTCGTCTAAGGGTAAGTAGGCCAGTAAGTAGACAAGTGACTAGTAATTCTACCGTACTCGACCTATTGCAAAACTTTCGGGCTGTCCTGGTGCAAAAGGACTTCGCCTGAATTACGTTCCAGAATTCTCACGTGTTCCGTGGCTTCGCAGATTGCATTAAGAATTTAGAGGAACGACACGCGGAATTGCCCTGCATTCGCGTAATTGCCTGCAATCGCGAGAGCGAGCAAGACTCTAATTTCGGGAGAGCGGACAGTGCCGCATTTTTATTTTTATTTTTATTTTTATTTCGACCGACAAATTTTAGGGAATAAAATAAATTTGAGAGAAAGGGAAATAAAAATAAAATTCGTTTACGCTTCATAAAATCACCCTTGTATCCATACACACGTGCCAATTAATGGTTCTTAATTAAATTGCATCTATATTTGTATTTATCTGATATTTTCACGTATATATATTTTTAATATCTTCAAACATCGATTGTAATTACATTTTTCGCTCGAATTTCAGCATTATTTCCTCTCGTCGATTTATTTACGCCCAGTTCATCCCATGCACAATTAATATCCACGCCTACGTCGACCCCTTTCAAATAATCGTCTCTCGAAGATCAATTTCGCAATTATCGGTTATTTTATTAAAAAATCAGCTGAAAGAGATCCCTGTAACGGCTAGCACGTGCATAAATTGCATCTTCTGTTTGCATTACAAAACCACGATTGTTCTATCTTCAACTCTTGCGGATGAGAAGCGAAAACAGTGATGCATAAAATATATAATCATCTTCTAAAAATAACAAACCGTGGAGAATCTTCTTATCGAAAATATCAAGGATGATGTACACGACATTCGACTTGGTGAATGAAATTATGCCACGTGTATGGTGTATAGCGCTCGTCTGTTTGTGTTTCTACATCTGAATTGACATATTTGAGAAGACCTATATTTTATGTATAGAGAATCAAAATTAGAGGAATCGAATAAAACGGTGTGTCGAGTCTAGTTTGACACTAGACCGCGAAAAATTAACCGAAGAAAATTACTATTAAATCACTATTAAATCCTAATAAAATCACGATAAAGTTACGATTAAATCACGATTGACCGTAATATTGACACGACTGCGAAAATTGCATTGACACGCAGAGTTCGACGCAAGACCGCGAAGAGCTAGCCAAAGATCGCGATAAAATGGCGATAAAATCACGATTAAATCGCGATTAGACGTAATAATTGCGAAAATGTGCACAGGTGACACCCAGATGTGTTCGCGGAATAGGCGTGATTAATCGAAATCTCGATTGCGCTGTTGTAAATACTCACTGGCCAATGTGGCGAGGGCTACTTTCCCTATCAGAGCAGTGCTGTACGAGATAATAACTCGTTTCGCCGAGGAAGCCATCGCCAGTTGTAGCACGGCAAGCCCGACCAGGAGCGCCAAAAGGGCAGAGGCTGTCGCCGCGGCTAATCCTGCCACCCACACAGCCACTGCAAGAGAAGGAAACCTCGGTGTCACGCTCCGTTCGTCATTTTCCGCGATCCAATTGCTTTGCTAAAACACTCTTCCTGGGGTAAAGGTTGCCTCCAATTTCTCCTAACATCTGCTACTTTACGGGTAATATCGAAACGGTGCTTTTAAGCTCGCAACCGTTAAAAGGGTCCAGCACGAACGTGGATCCCCCTTGAGCTTTTAGCAGCAGAATGATTTAGACGTTGTCGTAGGCAGACCGGAAAGACGAAACGTTTCGTTTATTGCCGTAATTTTGGTGAAACTTTGCGTGTATTCTGTATATTCTAATCACGCGAAACAGTTTTAAAAGAGCCTAAGAGTTCGCATAAGTAGAGTCGTCAGGACCCTCCTTCGTTCATTTACATTTCAAGTTTTCGACTTTCATTTTATAATCACTATTACTTTGTATATTTTTTAAATAATGCTACTATGTCAGGATTCGAGAGACTTACAATAACGTATATTATATTACACGAATTACGTGCGTTTTGGAAAATATTTCAAATGAACTCACACACTGGCTGGAACCTGGAGACCCCTTGACCGCATCTTTCTCTACCGTACAGCAGAAGCTTGCACTGTCTCCATGGACCAAAGTACCCCTTCTCGGCTGCTGAAC